GGGATATTGGAGTCTCTGGGAAGTGGGGGTGAACCAGTGGACATGTAAGGGTCTGTGCGAAATTACCCCTTGGAAGAATCTCCCTTCAACTGGGATTGGGCACTTTAGCATGATACAAGATACCCAGAGACTCTAATATCCCTGAATTAAGGAATATACCTTAAATTATCGTAGGATACTTAATATGATGCAAGATACTTGGAGGATTATCGGACTCAGTAAGTAGGGTTATAAGCACCTTAATTGGGGTTATAAGTAGTTATAAGTATAGTTACCTGAATTATAACCCTAGTTACTAAGTCCCATGATCCTTTAAGTACTCGCCCCAGGCAGAGTTCATGAAGATCCTACAGGTAGATGAGGCTGCTCGTGCTTTGGAAGATGCCTGGCACGCTTCAAGGGATACAGTGGCTTTAGGGTTTAGGGTTTTAGGGTTTTAGGGTATAGGGTCCAGGGTTTAGGGTCTACCTGGACCCTACGAACTGCCTTGTTGCAGGATTTTGTACAAACGCCACAGTAACGAGCCCGAAAAAGGTAGGTCTCGTTAGGCCAGCGCGTAGACTCCAGGCAACCTCCGCCAAAGTCAGAATAAGCGTAATCTTCTTGAGAGTAGTAGTTATTGCGAAAGAGGAGGACACACAATCGTGGTAATCATACATAAGGACAGTGAGTGCTTAGCACCGGCACAATGGTCGTCGTAGTGTTTATCACAGTAGTGACCCTAAACGCAAATCCAAGCCCTAAGCCCTAAAACCTAAACCCTTCACAACTTTCCATGCTTGAACCGAGGAGGTGGGTGTCGACCCGGTCAGCATTGCTGCTCTGTCGACGTTAGTTTAGGGTTTGGGGTTTAGACATATGGTGCTACAATGTAACAAACATGCCAATAGCAACCGCAACCATAATCGCCATAAAGAGCAAAAATACTAATACATTTACCGACAATAATACTAAAGTTTACTACAGACTGTGATCATGTCCAAAAGAATACTGCCCACAATCAAAATAATCGTAACAGTCAAGTTCTAGACTTCTAGAAGTTCCGAACCTAAACTCCCAAGCCCTAATTCCCTAAAACCTAAACCCCAAACCCTAAATCCAAACTACTGCAAGTGCCATCGCACGAGACCCTCGCGAGTCCCGGTCGGTCACCGAGCGTTGGACACGCAAGCCCAAAGACCTCGCAACCCCTAAACTGTTTAGGTTGTTTAGGTTTTGGGGTTCAGGTTTCAGCTTTAGGGTTCAGAGTTTTAGGTTTAGGGTTCAGGGTGTCGGGTTTGCGGCTTTAGGGTTTAGGTTTTGGGGGTTTTAGGGGTTCAGGGTCCCTGAATGCTCGAACCAAAGAGAAGCTAATGCCAGGGCCCAGCAGGATGTAGAGGAGCCTTCCCTGCATGTGGGTGGTTCTCTAAATTAGGGTCCTTTTTAGGGGTCCTTAGGGATCTACAAAGGTTTCCATAAGGGTACTAATTATAAGGGTTCGAGGGTTTGGGGTCTAGGTTCGGGTTTGGCATATAGGGTTCAGGGTTCAGGGTTGACGGAAAGAAAGGCTGTGGCGGGTTGACTTCAGCTTCAATTTGTTTGAGTGGTTTTTTCCAGAGAACCCAATACCCTTTAAATAAGGATTATACCTCAAAGCATAAGATTAAGGCCCCTATAATTTAAGGCATATTCCTTAATTGAGGGATATTGGGTTCTTTCGGTGCAAAGCTTCACCACGAAGCGTCAACCTCACCAGGCCTCCCTGGAAAGCTTCAGAGCCCTTGATCAGGGCGTGTCAACGGGGAACGTGAGTGCGTAGAGGCCTAGGCGAAGGCACAGGCAGGTGTGTGTTTGTCATTTGTGTGTATATGTTCATGTTATCTTGTAGGCTAGAAGCTTAGCGTTTAGGAGGGGTTCAGAAGTCAGCCAAGTTATGCTATATGCTACGGTGCTATTACAACGGTTTGTTATGACCCTAAACCCTGAACCCTAAACCGTTGTAGTGTCATGTTTTGTACAGCCATTACATCACTTTCTCAGTCGGAGACACTGTAACTTGCAATAGTATTCCCTCATAGTCCCTCTATAGCTATAGTAGGATATACAACAAACTCCTACGTTTAATTCCAAGGACTAAGGGCCCTATACGAGACCGTCATACTTAGTAACCCTAAACCCTAAACCCTAAACCCTAAACCCTAAACCCTAAACCCTAAACCCTAAACCCCAAACCCTAAACCCCTAGTAATCTCCTTATAGAGCTCCTTGAGTCTTTGAGGAAACCTGCTCTGCTGCGCAGGGGTTGTATTCTTTTGTACATCCTTCGTCCTCCTTTTTTGTGCCTCAGGGTTTTAGGATTCAGGGTTTTAGGGTTTAGGGCTTTAGGGGTTTAGGGTTTAGGGTTTGAGGGTTTTAGGGTTTCAGAGGAATTCACATAGTGTTTCAGACCCTTGTGGCAACTACATTTCAGAATAGCTGCCTATAGTGCCAGTAAACGTACTTCGCTTGAAGTTGACGGTTTCAACCTCCTACCCAAAGCCTGCGCCCCTAAACCCTATTCCCTGTATTCCTAGAGGTTCTATGTACACTGCTATTATGGAGCCCGAAACCATAGTCTTTTGGGGCCCAATTCCATAATGGTGGTCTGTCTGGAGCGCTTGTGAATGATTATCCCCTTTGAGGTTGACTTTGCTGATTTCATCTTCGGAGAGAATGATGGCGAAGAGGATGGAGGTTCCCGTCTTCGGGGTTCATTTTCGGGTTTAGGGTTTGCCCTCAAGTTATCCTTAATTATTTTCCGGGTTTAGGGTCAGAGCTTTTTCGGGGTGCAGGCCAGGGTTTGGGGTTGTTTCGTTTTATTCGGGGTTCAAGGTTTAGCGCTTTTCTAAACCCTAAACCCTTAAGGGTTCTTGGGTTCTTTTGGTTTAGAGGTCCTAGACGCAGAGCCAAACCCTAAACTTTAAAGCCCAAACCCAGAGAACCCAATACCCCTTAATTAGGGAATATACCTTAAATCATAATATTAAGCCTCTATAATTTAAGGCATACTCCTTAGTTAAGGGGTATTGGGTTCTCTGGGAAGCCCTAAACTCTAATTGGGTTCTTGGTTTCCTAAACCCTAAACCCTAAACCCTAAACCCTAAACCCTAAACCCTAAACCCTAACGATCACGGCTCAGGTCCTACAGGGCAGCCTCGGGTTAGGGCATGGGGCTTTGGGTTTAAGGTTTAGGGTTTGGGGCTTAGGGTTTAGGGTTTGAGGTTAAGGGTTTAGGGTTTGGGGCTTTGGGCTTAGGGGTCAGGAGATCAGTTTCCCAAAGTTTCAGGCATGAGTCGCTATACTGCTGGGCCCACGAGGAAGATACCTTAATTCCTTGGAGGCCGACTCTTTTAATTTAAGGTAGGGGTAGTGGGCTGTTTCATTACACCGCAAGTAAGCGCACCAGAGCAAGTTTTCTTTTAGTTTGATACCCCATCGAACACGCCAGAAACAGGGCTCATCTAGTTAAAGGCTTGAAGGTATTCCGTGCAAGCCAGCCTTTAGTTGAGGAGCTCTTGTAGCGAGTTGTTTTGATGCCCGACCACAGCTACTCAGAAAAGGCTGCTGCCAGGTTTTCGGGATTGTTTTGGTGTTTGACTGGGAGGTCAGTCATTCTAAAGCCCAAAAAGTTTGGTCGTATCATGTCGTAGGTTCCTTGTTTTTCTTCTCGGCGCTTTCATGGCGAAGCAGGCAAGATTTCCCGAATGATTTTGAAGCTGATTGTCGGTGTGGGACTTAGCAACGAGGTCCCTCACAAACCCGAACCTGAAGCCTTATGCAACTTTGCAAGCCTAACACAGTCTAAACCCTAAACCCGAAGCCCTGAACCCCAAACCCTAAACCTGAAACC